ATAATTCTTAGCCCTAAATGTTAAAGTTGTCGCAATTTTCCAGCTTCCCCTTGGTGAAACGTACGTGTCAAGAGCTTGCCCTGCAATCTGCTGGCTGCTGGCTGCATGCCTACTGCCAGAGCCGCCTTTGGCTTAAAGGAAGGGGCGGGACAAGAGAGGGGACTGTTTCACAGCGCTTCTTTTCCAAGTAAGACAGCGTCGTGCTACATGCCAGTCTTTGGAAGTTGTAGTTTCCACAGAAAATACTCCTTAACTGCCAAGCCAGGGAGATGTTGCTGAACGAAACAATATCTAAAATACATGTATTTGTGAGAGAGTTACCATGCTTGGTTTTCAGTGCGGACGGCGGCAGATCATGCATTACTAAGCTTCCCATAACTGGTGTTTTATAACAATCCTCAAATGAAAAATCCAAGCACCTATAGAGGCCAAAAGTAGAAGAGAATTGCATTGTTATATCGTTGCTCAAGGTCGGGGAGAGAAACGTTACCCTGCTAAAGTGCACAAATAGGGAGCAGCGTTGCGTAGCAGCCCCTTGGAGAAATTGATTTCTACTTCTGTTGACTGCCTGAGCATATCTATTTGTGTTGGTAACAGAAGACATGGGCTTTGCCGCTGCCATTTTTCAGGGTTTTCTTCATTAGTGATATCGTAGTTGTGGGTTTCTCCATATTCAAACGTCCGAGTAATAACCAGGTTCGACAGTATTTGCAACTGAGTGGATTTGGGCAGTCAGTACATTTAAACAAATAAAACAGAATATTTAACTAATACCGAGATCCATTAAGTGCTAAAGTAAGCCTCTTTGATTTGAAGCTTCTACCACTTCCGTGTAAAGCTTAATTCAACATAACAATATACAAACAACAAAACAATACAAGAGCACACAATAGATACAAACTCATGGTAAACCGATCCAAACTAGACTGCAAAAAATACAACTTCAGTATCAGAGTTGTCAACGCCTGGAATGCACTACCTGACTCTCTGGTTTCTTCCCCAAATCCCCAAAACTTTAACCTTAACTCTCTACTGTAGACCTCACCCCATTCCTAAGATGTCTGTAAGGGGCGTGCATAAGCGCACCAGCGTGCCTACCGTCCTTGTCCTAATGTTTTCTTTTATTCGTATCCTTTTCATGTATTTATGATTACGTTTACACTTGTATGTCATAAAATACATGCTTGACGAAATAAATAAATAATAAGGCAAGCGGGGGCTCTTCCTCTCTCTGAATGGGCCTCTAGTCTACTCCAGAGCGATCATTTATCGCTTTTCATAAATGACAATTATTTCCTTGCTCAGAAGATGGCGCTCACGGAGGCTTTCCAGGCGCTGCTGCACCTTTAAGCAATCACAGAGGAAGGAAGTGCTCAACGCCATCTCCTGCCCTTCCTCTCCCCCTCCCGACCGCCGGAGAAAAGAATGAGAGAGAATGAGCTGGAAAGATACCGCGATCCATTTATTTGCTGGAGGGTAGGTAGAATCGAGGCAGGTTTGGGCCCTGGGGTGGGGCGTCAGAAGGGAAAACGTGCGCCAGCGTTCTGGCCGGCTGTGATGCTGAAGGGTAGAGGCGGAGGGCTTCCCTGGTTCGCCCAGGCTGGCCAGCAGTTAAAGGGGGTGATATGGAAAACTCCTGCTGAAGCTGTAAGCTCTGCGAGAGATTTCTCCTGATTTTGCAGAAAGACCTTGGGTGGAAGCAGGAGGCCTCCTGCTGCAGCTGCCGTAGAAATGGCTTCCCGAGAGTTAGAAGCATCTGGTGCTGGCCGGGATGATTAGTGTGGGGCCTGCCCGTGGAGGCAGCCCAGATGAACGCAGGAGGCCTTAATAAGGCAAGTTGACTCCGATGTAAAGCTAGAATGGGGAGGAATGGGGTTGTTTGCGTATTGGACGGTAGGATTTGAAGCCCGAAAAATAAGGATATATAAGGAATTATCTTCTGACTCTGACTAATGAAATTGCCTCTGTGCAAGAGTTGGATTTTTGGGGGAGGATGTTTCTTTTTTTTTTCTGTTTCATTGCTTCTTTTTTCTGTTTCTTTTAATTGGAAGGCAGGAATCTCTTTTTGGAAGTTGCAAACGGTTCAATTTCAGTTCTGTGTCATTTTTATTGCAGCAATAGTCTTAAAACCATAAATAAAATAGGAATTCTTATATAATGGTATTCAGGTAAATAATTTTTCAGTTGAACTAAAGGAATTTTGTGTGATTTCAAGCTAAAAATGCAAGATCCAAGTGTCATCAAGAGAAGGTTTGATGCTATTCCCTGGACATTATAGGGAGATTCCATTTATGTCATATCACTGCTTATTCATGAACAAATTCAAACTGAATAATATATACATAGCATAGCATAACAATCGTGTGAGGTTGACACATGCACTGTGACTAAGCCATGAATAGTTGAATAAATTGGTATTTATATTGCCTTGAGTTCCTGAATGAAAGGTAGGTTATAAATCAAGCATAAATAGTTATGTGGGTGTACATGGATTGACTCAGAAAACAATATTGAGTTAATCTATTTTGTAGTTAACCCATTTTTTAGCAGGATACAGGAATCCTAAAACTACAGATTTAATAGATTTTTATGAAGTTTGATTCTTAATTGAAACAAATATGTTTAGACAAACTATATCAAAACAGGATGTCAGTTTTTATTAATTGAATTCTTATACATGTCCACATTTAGTTTGTATTACGACATTGCATGCAAATATGTAAGGAGCATATTTGGTTATGTAGTGGTGTATTCATCTTGGTTCACTTACCACAGATGTTGCCAAAATACGCTTTACCAGTTACACTATGCTACTGAAAGTAGCGTTTTGTTCATTCATGGAGGATTATGAGCTGCTAAGGCTTAAAGCAATAATCAATCAACATCTTAATATATAGGTTTTAAATCAAGATAAATTAAGCAGTGAATTTTGCAACATTGTTTTCAAACCCTTTAAGATCAAATGATATATGAATTCAGGTGCTCCTCAGTATGTATTACACATGTCCATTTAGTATGATCAGGGCTTGAGCTGTTTTCACTCAGTGTGGAAAATATTGATCCTAGCGTTTTAGGAATAGCAGGTAAACCATCTGCATAAATGATTTAACGTCATTGGATTATCTTTACACATACGTTGCTACAAATATAATACAAACATGCCTCAGCAGTCTTTTATAATAAATTCCCCATTTGGAGGTGGGAAAAAATGTAATCTTGCTGCAGAATTATCAGACCTGTATTTGTTCCTTTTAAACAAGTTGGACTTTTTCCATGTTTGGAGAAATGCACTTAAAATAACCAAGAAAAAGAGTAAAGTCACAAAAGTATGTTCAGGAGAGGTGAATATGAAAGAAAAAACTTTTCAGATATTTTCAATTGCAGTCTTATCTAGGTGTGCTAAGGAATGCAAAGTTCTGTTGATTCATGGAGACGTAGATTATGTTTTAACACTATCCCATTTGTATCTTATACTGAAATAGTATTCAGAATTTCTTTCTTTAAAAAGTGACAGATACCATCCATTTAAATTCTCAAGATAGCATAAACTTTGAAAGGGAAGATAGTACTAATGCAGTTCAGTAAATTGTCAAGAAATAACTAAGAAAGATGCAGAAAGTAGCAAACAGTATAATCAAATCAAGCTTTTTTAAAACAAGGTAAGATTTTTTTTAAAAAAAAAACATAGTACTGTGTTGGATTTTAACTTCCTTAACATCCAACAACATTATATGAATAGTTGTCATCCAGCACATCTGAAAGTGCTGAATTGGAGAAGGCTACTTACACAGAAGTAAAATCCCATTGGGTTTATCTGTTCACTCCCAACAGTTCACAAAAATTGGCTCTTAGCAGATAATAGGGTCAAATCCATTAAGTCCATTGGGTTTTTTAGTGCTTATTCAATCATTTCTAAAGAATGTCTAATTCTCTTGATAGTTGTAATAAGGAAATAATATAAATGATAGAATTTTCCCAAAGCCAATGGCCATGCAATTTTTAAAAATACTTATACCAGTTGAAGTTTGAAAGAGATGGGGTAGGGGGTTGGAATCTTTTTGTAGAACTATTGGAAGTATAGAAAAGTCCTGGAGCTAAAATACATGAACAAACTGATAAGTAGTTGCAGTCTGAGATGTTGAGTTCCATAGGGATGAGGAAGGAGAAATAGTGTGGAAAGGAGATATTTGTAAAGCTGACTATCATCTCTCTCTCCTTGTATTCTTCCAAAATTAATAAAATTGATGGGAGTACAACAGGGACTAGAATTGTGAACATACACGGGAGAGATAGTGATCCATTTTATGTACTAAACTCTTTTAAAAACCTAAAAAAATTCCACCAAAACAATATCCAATGGTATAGGTGAAACCATTGGATATTGTTTGAGCCCATCACTACCTGAATCTATAGGATATATCCAACGATCTTTGCTTAATAGATCCAGAAAATTGGGTGAACTAAATCTCACGAGGGAGATGAATAGCTCCCACGCCCACTTTTTCCCTCTGACAGAAAAGGGGGGTGGGGAGCTAGACGCGTCTGTGAGTTCCCACCTGCGAGAGACAAACAGAAAAAAAAGGTCTCTAGACTCCTCTGCTCCTTGCAAGCAGGTGCATCTATAGCCCTCTCCAAAGCATATTTACTCGGAAGTGGAACTCAACTTAAAGGGACCTTGATCCCAAGAAAGGAAAGAGAAACGCGAAAGCAATGCGTTTCCCTAGATGGCAACCTAGATGGTGCAACGTCTCTTGCTCATCCTGCCCTCGCTATCCCGGCATAATTAACTTTGGAGGTTTTATTGTTTTGTTTTGTTTTTGAGGTGTGGGGGGGGGATGCTCGTGCTTTGCGTCGGTATAGAGTTCAGTACGTAGTCACGTGCACAAAGCCAGCATAACTTCAGCCGGTGATGTCACGGTCCCTCGTGAGCCAATGGCCGTGTCTGTTTATATTGGGCTTCGCTTCGCCTCGCCTTGGAAGCGAGAGGCCAGGCGGCTGCGCTTTTGCCTGCTGGTTGGTGCTGCTCTTGCCTCCTGCTGGGACCGGAGTTTTTCGTCTCCGAGGAAGCAGCCTTGGGGCTTCCTAGTTTGTGTTCTTCGCCGTTCAGATTAGCAAGAAAGCGGAGTGGGAGAAGCTTCTCCCGTTCGATCTTCCTTCTATTTTAACCGGGATAAGAATGAGAACATGAGCCAGAGAGACATTTGCGTACATCTCTTTGCTGGAGGGTAGGTGAAATATTATGGTAACCTCTCTTCTTTTCTGCCTTAACCTTTATTGACTGTCTGCTCCATAGACAAAACTTTTGTGTAATATGTGGCGCATGGCATTTAATTGGTGGAGCGTGTGGAAGGGAAGGGTGTAGGCGTAAGATAGACATTTTTTTCTCAAAATAGAATGGAAGTTGTGGGAATGATTTGAATTAAGACTAAAAGAAATTTCTGACTGACTTCGAGCCATTTTTAAGTCACCGTGCACTAATGCAGGTAATACAGATTTTTACTAGTATTTCACGGGGAGATTTAAAATAAAATGGTGCGATACATCTGTAACATTCGTGTTGTGTGCTGCAGGGAAGAAAGTTAAAACTTCTGTCTGTCTGTGCAGAGATTATGATCTTGAATTGGCTAGTTTTCTCCCTATTGCGTTTTTTATTTTTCTTTATCAATTATTGTTGGGGGCTGGAGTATGTTCTAACTTGCAAACAGGTGTATACTAGGTGTACACTTTTATGCATTTGAATGCATAAAAGTTATTTCTCTGGATAATATCAATTTCTTGAAATATACAGTTGATTTTATAATCCACTGCAGTTTAGTAGGTGCATTTTCTTTCTGGCATATCTTCAAGCTGATTGAGAAATAACTGGTTCTAACTCCAACACTTCTCTTGTGTATAGACCTTGTATAAATAAGAAATAGATCATATACTCCAACAATTTGGATTGTAATCTTATATGCATTTATCAGATATACAGCCCATTCAATCTAGCTGAAAGACCAAGTACTAGAGGTTAGTTTTATGTGAAAAGAATGAGCCTATCTATATATTTAGCAAATCTCTGGTAAGTTTACACACAACTGACAAAACTAATATATTGCTGGCTGATTTACTGTTGATTGTGTTGCAAAAACAGTCAAAATATGCCCTGTAATGTTGAGATGCACAGAATATATTTTAGTTGGGCATGAAAAACTCCCAAGCTAAAGGAAGTGGTTTCCTTATACAAATAAGCTTACATTTGAGCAGAATTAAATTCCATGCCAAATCCATAAATATAACTTTCCCTGAAAGAATTTTGTGATCCCTCATGTTGTAATAAAATTGCTAGATTTATATAGGGCTTGCAAGCAAAATAGATACATCCAGACAACTGAAAGAAAATTGGGAAGAGTTAGATTTCTGTGCTGCTACTTAGTGATCAAATTGGTTTCTTTAAAGTCGTGATTTTTTAGTATTACCAGAAAAGTCTTCGAGCATAAAAATATTCCTTGGTGCAACTGATTAATGTAACAGTATGTTTTGAACTTAAATCCTTATTTTTTGATGTGAGGAACAGTAAATAACAAATCTACATGTTAAATTTATTCTTTCTCCTTTCACCCAGGTTTACTAATTAATTTTTCATTTTTGAATGGTCTCTGGTTTTGTATTTGCATATTTGGGGGCGGTCTACGTGGACAGTCAATAATTCTTTTAGGAATGTGATTATTTCATTCTGTCTGTCATGGGGAGTAAGGACATGCAAGTGATGAACACGACAATGCAAATTTTTCCCTTACATATTTATGCATAATATTATGCAAGTATAAAACAGCTTGTGCTGTTATAATACAACACTCATTTTGACATCTTATGGGCTTCCCATTGTTCCATTATTTTCCCCAGGATTTTACAAGTTTTTCTTGTGGACAAAGTAACCATATATCACTCAGGCATATGATTTCTCAAAACTTGTAATTTTCCTTTTTATTCTGGGTTGTTTCCTATGGTAGGACTTCTTTCTCTGCTTCCAATTCTCAGAAAGTTGGTCAAAGTTCATACTGTGCAGAAGGTATGTTACAGACCATGACTGCCTTGTTATTAGAGTAGTTGAAGGCTTCTGCCTAATCTCTCAGTCAGTAAAACACAAAAAATATGTGTGTAATCATGTGCAGAGCAGGGTGAAAGTAGCTTAGAGTTATCAGTCCCAAGTATTTTTATTACAAGCAGCCAGCAAAAGCCTTTTTGCTTTTCTTTAGTTTTATTTTGCTGTAGAATAATGAAATCAAAATAGGCCACTTTTACTGCTTTACAAAACTATTTTAACCAAAAAAAAAAAAAAAATAGCATGTTCTAAAGAAAGGAAGGAGTTACCAAAATAAAAAAGGTAGAATAAGGTAGTATATATTTATAACAGAAGTTAATCAAATTTAGGCAAGAATGATTCCCATATATGCAGTATTGCAAATGTATATACATTTTCACTTTGGCTTCTAAGAGACATTAATCTTTATATAGTAACATAGCAGAAGCTGAAAATGGGAAGTTAGGAAACAAGTAGCTTCTCTCTTCTTTTGCCTTTTCTATACTTTTTTATTTTTAGTGTCAAATTTGATTTATTTTTTTCAACATAGACAAGTATGTAAGTAACATTACAATGGATATTTTAATATTAAGAAAGGTAGAAGCCCATTTGGTACAACAAATATTTTGATTAAATTTGTAGCAGTTTTTTAATGTTATATTTAGTTCTGGATAAGAAACTAAATAATCTCATGCCTGTTAACACTGACATGATAGTTAATACTGATATAATACCTTATTTTTTTGTATCTTTAATGATTTAAGTTATTTAACTTTGAAGTACTAATATTAGTATTGTATAAATGCCATTGCATCAAATAATGTAATGTATTATGTAAGTTTTACAATAATATAATAGAGAAGCCTATTAAGAAATAAAAGTAGTAAAATGAAAATGCTGTCTTTGCAGCATTTTTCATGTATGCCAAACTTCTTATAGGCAAATTCTTCTGTAGTTCAAATTATCATCAATGTTTATGAACTTTGAAAATCAATTTGATTTCAAATTCATCTCACCACTTACTATATGTTAAAAATAAATATGTGCATTGTATCAAAACATTACGTTTGTTTTGAAATGTTCCTCTACTAAACTGATCGAATTTAGTATATCCTCTTTGTTTAACAAGTCATATTTAATTTAAAAACCAGTCATACAGTACTTGTGATAAACACGAGGTTATGTATTGAAATCACCAGTTTCCATTAATAAGAAAATGAAGTTAAATATATTCCTGTTTCTTTTGCTATGTTTCTTGAAATAGTTTAGTAAATAAATGTAAGATCTTTTTTTTTAGAAAAAAAAGTGTATTGAACATTAAGTCTCCTATTTAAAAACCCACATTTGTCAATTTTTGTACCTGGCAGCTTGACTAAAATAACATGTCTTGTTTTCCTTAAGAACTCTGTTGATATACTATTTAGTCACTTAGACTGAATTTTATTTAGAAAGAATACACAAATGGTGAATTCAGTTCTATACTGGGCATTACAGTTTGTATATATAGTGGACATTTTGTATGAATATATACAAACTCATACAAATAAAATAAATCTAATTCTTTATTCTGACACCAGATAAAAGAACATTCAGTTTTCCTGATGTATCTTCTCAGAGCTTTACTGTATATCATCATAGGATAGGAAATTATATTAGGCTAGTCATTTTATCAATCTGGATCTGTATTGAGTTTTCTGGGAGTGTTCACAGTAATTGAAATGTAGGAATACATTTACAGACTAGAAGCCCAAAGAGAAGAAAACGGAATTTATTGTTTTGGCTAAAGTAAACCAGGTTTCTTGCAAAAAGAATAACATAATAGTGAAGTTAATTGAAGTGTATCAATAGTGGAATTTTGTTGGAGGAGGAATTCTGATTCAAAGAATTGATTATGTAATGATTATGGAGTTGCCAACAATTTCATCTTCCTTTCCAGAAAATGATGGAAATTGCTGCTCAATAGCTAAAACTATCCTTATTCGGTTTTAGAAATTCAAAATAAAAATGTAGCAATGTGCAGGAGGTCTTGCAGGGCAGATTATAATAGTTGATAGTAGATAGCATATCTCTAATTCTTCTTTCAATAGGTTTCAATATCAGAGGTATGAATTACATTAAGCTTTTTGAAAAATTAACAGTAATATTACATTCTAAAGTACAGAAATTAATGATTCAGTTCAATTCTAATATTCCTTCCTATTCCAGAAAGTACAAAAAATAAAATGCAAGTAAACATATGCTAGTTAAAAATAACATTGTTGAAATATTGGATAATTTTTTCTATTTTTTATTTTAAATTGTAACTGGATAAATTATGTTTATCCAGCATTTTTCCCCATCTCTAATATGCTCCCATAGAGCAGCTAGCTTCCGGAAATCTGAATAGCATACCCCCTGAAGACAAAACTGTTTCAGAAATTTTGATGGACGAGAGGTTGGTGTGGAATACAAGTTTGCATGAAGTATAATAGAATTGTTCATATGGTTTTATGTAGTTCTATAAATTTCTTTTGAGGTTTGGTAGCATAGAAATGATGTAAAACAAAGAAATAATATTTTTATAAATAGTGTCTAAATTAATAGTCTTTTTTAGGTGAGGCTGAGAAAACATGGTATGTTTCAACATGATCTAGATCACCTAATGAATATTACTAGTCTTTTTGGTGAAAATTATAAGGCTATTAAGAGGGAGAGATATAAAATTTAATTTTTATGAAATGAATACATTTCTCAATGTGATAATCCCAATTTTTTTTCTTTGCAGATGTGGAGGCACAGTAGCTGCAATCTTGACATGTCCACTAGAAGTTCTGAAAACACGATTGCAATCATCATCTATTACTCTCTACATTTCTGAAGTTCAGCTGAATACTGTGAATGGAGCAAGTGTTAATCGGGTTTCTCCACGGGCTTTTCATTGCTTTAAGTGAGCACTATTTCTTCCTACTTCTGTCTATAATAAGGCTTTATGTTAAATAAGAATACTTGGTAGAGAACAAGTTTAGGTGACCTGTTTTTATAGAGTATGGACATGGAATTTCACTTTGAATAGCATCAGATTACCTCTTACTATTAACAGAAATTCATTTTAAGTATCTTACAAGAACAAATTTTAAAAGGTAAAATTAAAATAAAACGTACTCCCTTCAAGTAAAGTTCAAGTTGTCCATATTATCATCTTTATTTTGGTATCTACTCCTTTAGTTTGCAAAGTAGAGTTTCACAAGTTTTTGATAATATGGTTGATATTCACTTGTTGAAATCTTGTGTAGAATGATTTCTTTGATCATAAGAGTTACTTCTGCTGTTTTATTTATTTACATGGTATATGTCAAAGCCAGGAGCTAAAGACCTTGGAAAACTAGCCAGCACTATCCTTTATTTAAATCCTTTATTTAGAATAAGTGACGCAACTGAACCAGAATGTGTGTTCCAGCCAAAAACAATCAATCTTGATCTTGCTGAATGAATACTAAAAGGAAAGCGCTCTATTAATGTATTTATGGATAAATCAGAAGTTTCCACCTTAGTTTCCTTCACATTGATATTTTGAATATTAAAAGTGGTATGAGCTAGATATCCTGGTTTTTGTGGATGTCAGCAATTAGTTTTATTTCTGTTGCTGAAACACGTAATTATTTTGGCTTGTTCCTAAACTCATTTGGTACACATTTTGGCTGCAGCCAATATGTCTCAACCTGCTTTGTTAAGGTGTTCAGAAAACAGTATCTCTGTTCTTTGATTTTCCACCCTGAGTAGGGAGATTTAAAAGTATTTTGAAAGGATCTTTCACATTGGAATGTGAGTAAAAGTAGCTAAGGATTTCTTTCTGTTTGTATTCAAATGCACATAATACAAAGCCTCCTTTCAGATATTTTCCCACAATTAAAAAAAGCCAATGATTTAATGAATTTTGCAAAGTGGGGTTGGGTTTGCATGTATATCAATGTTCCCAGTCAGTCATTACCTCAGTAGGTTGAGTAGTCTACTAATAAAACCAATAATGATTTACTATTTGATGCAATGAGGTCCCCAATCCATAAATGATTGCCAGCGTTCTGTAACTAGCAAAGATAGTTCAATTAAACTAGGAATTAAATGGGCATTATAATGGGCATCATTTTGAAGTTTCTGAGAATTCCTCAAACTCTGCTGTTTGAAAAAACTTTCCAAAATTTACACATAAATTATATTTAAGAGAAAGGCATGAGGAGCATATATGCATCAACTATAGTTAAATTAACAGAAAATTAATATTCTTGTTGATCTTGCTTATCTTGTGTACTGATGCACCTGATGGCTAAGATTGCAAAATTATACCTTAACTCTCTAAATAATTAAAGGTATATGATCATTCAGGAATGCAGTTGGACAACATACTTCAGAGCTCTGAATTTTGTTCAGGTGGATTAAAAGCATAGTGGAAACCAAATTTGTTTATAAGCAATTCTTATAATAGAAACTCTTCATATTTTGACTGTACAATAAGAGGAGAAATTGGGAGGATCATTTACTTCCAATATTGTTACCAAGAATTAATATTGACATGTGAAACTACTATAATTTATTGCATAATGCTGTTGGGCTGTTTGGCTTAAACAGTTTCAAGTGAGCTTGGATTTTTTTAAAAAAAAAATACTGTTTGCAGTTTGCTCAATCTTTATGTCATCAACCTGTATTTCTATTTGTACAAGAAATACTTTAAAGACATTCTGATAATACAGGACACTATTGATAAATATGCTGCAGTATATAGCATGTTTATATTAGATAATTAGATAACACTCAAAATGTTAATTTTGAGAGTTTCCTAAACTAGCTCAGAAAACACAGTATTTTAACGGTTGAAACTAAATAACATTTCAGTGTTACATGGCACAGTATGGGTCACCAATAATAAGTTGAGAAATATTAAAAGATGTTCTTTACAAAGCCCACTGATGCAAACAAAGTGCCTATCCTTGAAGCATTTGACCAATTGTCTCCTGCAAACCTAAGTGAAGCTGCTTCAGGAGATTTTCTAGTTTGCAAGATAATTGGTGATAAAAGTAGAATATTTCTTTTGTGACATTTTATGAAAACTTGGACCACATTGCTTATATTATATATATGCTTGTCTGTGGATAATGAGTAAAACAGCATGTCATTACAGAGACAAAATTAAAACTGGAGAATACATGTTTTAGCTACTACAGTATACCTGATATTCAGATTCAGACTTGCAGCTGATTTTTATCTAACTGGATCTTGGATACATTTAGAATGTGAAATCCTTGCTCTAAGGCTCAGAAGACTGAATTTAAAGGAAAATATATTAAAATAGTGATTCTCTTCAGTAATCCTAGTTGATATGATTTAATTGATATTTTCAGGCTTTTCATTACAGTGAAATTGGCACATAACATTAATTTGTTCTTATTTCCTGTTAGATGCTTATTGCTTTGCTTGCTTTTAGGACCTCACCATATGGTGGCTTATGACTTACAGTTTTTGTTGAGGAATAGTTGTATGCGTTGCATTTCGATTAACTATAGTACCCTATAATCTTTCCCTTATTCTGTTTGGTAAATATTCTATTCTTGGTAGACAGTAACCCTCCCCCCCCACACACACACCATTTCCCTATACCATATAAGCAATATTACAAAAAATTGTAGTAAAAATTTAGTTGTTGGAGACAAGCAATGCTAGTTTTGCAATATCACAGCTTCTGCTTAGATCACTGCCATTCTGAAGTGGAATGTTCCATATAGGAACCACAACATTTGTTTAACAGATATTCTGTAGACTGGATTAACTGGAATCTCCATCTGATCTTAAATCTCCTTTATTGTATCATATATGTGCTTCTTTCACAGGATGATCTTACAAAATGAGGGTCCCCGGTCATTTTTCAGAGGACTAGGTCCTAACTTGGTAGGCGTGGCTCCATCCAGGTAAACTGAAAAAAAATGTTTTATTTGGATTATTTCATCTGATAAGAGAAATTTGTAATGCTTTTCATTATTTTGAAGTTACATAATTGCTTTTTGGGAAGCTGTTTTTCTATCCTTACTATCACTATTTAGTCACAATTATTGAACTTTCAATATAAGTATGATGTAAATTCTCCTTTTAATATTTATGGTCATCTTATGAATCCTGGCAAAAATGCCAACCATGTAAACTTGCATCATACTCTCAAGTTAAAATACACTATAATTGGAAACTATATAAACAACAATATCTGCTATTGTATTTTTTTCTAATTTGGGAATTGAAATTTTCTGTAAACAAATGTCATTCAGTCTTGCAACTTATATAACTGAGATATATACATAAATATCTATATATTCAGTTAATTTTAATTTTACAATGCTTGGTAAAATAGGTACAATCCATTTTATTTAGGACAATTTTAATAAAAGTTTGATCCATGTATAATCAGAATATCAGTTCCCTGTAATTCACATTGTACAAAATAAGGTCAGACTTACAGAGTGATAGTCAATATAGGATTTGTGTAGATATTATGTTTATTATCCCTCTGTAGAAGATGAATGTGTGGAATGAACTATGAAAAAGAAATAGTTTGTAATGGCAGAGGACGAAGCATGCCAAGAAACAGCAATTCTGTGAATGAGTCATATGGCTGCCTGCCCAGTTTTGGATGCATACTAGGGTATGCTAAAATGAATTATCCTCTGAGTTAAATTCAGTCATTATTTGCAGGAAATAAGAGACTTGAATCATCCGGGCAGGTCCAATTTGCAATTTATCCACTTGTCTCAAAGCTTTTAGACACCAAGAGTTGATTCAACATGATTCCTTTTAGATATCTTGCATTGGGGACAAATAATATTATTTTAGTCTTGTTATGGATATGGTTGTACTTAAGGTTCTGATAATCTTATGAAGGACTGCTTAGTTTTGCAGTATCATAACTGCCATCACATTAATAAAAATTATATAAACGTCACAGATTTAAGTTTACCATGTCCTCTAATTGTTTGTATATGTTTAATAAAGATTTCAGTAGAGGATTAAAGTTGTGATTTTGACTATTATCACCAGTGAGAGAATTTTAAAAAAAATGTAAACCTAATCCAGGAGTAAGGCAGATGACTTATTAATTAAATTTTCTAATAAACAGTTTATATAATCCATTAACCACTGCATTGGAGAAAAAGTAGGCAAAAATAATCCTTTATATAATCCTTTATGCAAACATAAGGAATAAACAAAAACACTTGAATAGAACAACAAAAAAAATAGAAATCAGAAGGTTGGGGAGAAATGGGAATTAACCTGAAAAATATATTATCTAGTTCTCTCACCTATGAGTAAAAACATAATTGTGGACTTTCTCCCAATTTTTGTATTATACTTGTCCATTTGCTTATGTATTCTTGGGGTTATGAATAATTTCTAATCCTTTTCAAGTCATCAACTTTGGACAAATACATTTATGTTTTGTTTAAACATTGCTGAGTAGCTTTAACAGCACTTCTCTATTTGAATAAGACATAATGACGCCTGTTTTAAAACATATATAGTATACACCACTGATTTCAAATTCCCCGTTGCTAACTACATCACGTAAAACAACCACTTTATCACATTTTGTGAAAGGCAACATGTTTGCAAAGCTAATGGCATTAACTTAATGTTCTGATGTGTGAATTAATTTATTCAGATCATAACCCGTGTGGATAGCATTTTCCAAGCCACCTAAGTACAAAGATGTTATGGAAAATAATAATCTGGTTTATTCTTGATTATTAAGTTCATTTTAAAAGTCTACCTGTTAAAATAATATCATTAAATATTTAGTGTTATAGTAATATACCTAACTATTGGACATAGTGGAATAATCGTTAGCATTCAAGTTTTAATACTTCAATACAGTGGTAAAATCTAAAATTTGTTACTACTGGTTCTGTGGGCGTGGCTTGGTGGTGATGGGTAATGTGACTGGGTGGGTGACTGGGTGGGCGTGGCCAATTTTTTTTTCTTTTAAAACCATTTTTTCTACAACTTCGGCGAAGAGGTTGTAAAATAATGCTTTCAAAAGGCTCTGACGATCCCAGCTGAGTTGCCTGATCGGCAGAGGCAACTCAGCTTTGATCAGCAGAGGCATATAAAAGAAAAAAAGCCTCTGCTGATCAGGCAACTCAGCTTGGATCATCAGAGGCATTTAAAAGAAAAAAAACCTCTGCGGTCAGGCAACTCAGCTGGGATCATCAGCTGACGATCCCTTTGATGATTCCAGTTGAGCCGCGCAATCATCAGAGGCTTTTTTTTTAACTTTTAAAAGCATTTTTTCGGCCGAAGCGGTTGTAGAAAAAATGCTTTTAAAAATTAAAAGAAAAAGCCTCTGATGATTGTGCGGCTCAGCTGGGCATGGGGTGGGCAGGGATTTTTGCTACCGGTTCTCCGAACCACCCGCCTCCATCGCTACTGGATTGGGCGATCCAGTCCGAACTGGGAGCATTTCACCCCTGCTTCAATAGTATAACCATATACTTCCTTTTTAAATATTGAAAGTTTAGAGTAGCATTTTTCAAACTTAAATAAACATTCAGAAAATGCAAGGAGACTATCCAGTTACACATCCCTTATAGTTTGTCTTCATGGAAATTAATATTGTAAAATAATTATAGCCCACATATATGTGCTCTCCCGTATCATTGATTTGAGAGGCCTTTTAAAATCAAGCATGATATGTATTGTGAATTATTTTATTATCATATGTCATATAATAATAAATCTAAATACAATTTGCTAAAGAATACTATTCAGTAGAAATCTCTGAATATTAAGTCAAGGATATCTGCTCAATAAATTCCCATTTTTTGTTGCTTAAATCTCTTATTACTCTTCTTTTTGAATTGCTTTTATCAGACATAGTTCCAGTTAGCTGAACATATGTGAACCTCCATAATGTTAACTACACTGGACACTTCTTAATTACTTGAATTTGAGCATTCATGAGCATTTATATTATCACTTGCCTGCATTGATGAACCAGTTTTCTGCCACTGATCTAATCTCACAAACCAGCTGACGGGCAGAGAGCACTTCGGGAGGCAGGAATGGAAGTGGGGAAGCAAGCGGTCAGTGCATGTGAAGAGGTGAAACTGAGGTGGTGAGTCTTGCCAGTTCACTCACACGAGCTGAGATGGTGATCAGGAAACTGCACTTCCACACACTTCACCTGAGACACACTACTGTGGACACACTACTATTGTTTCTTATTGCAACTATTAATATTGGTCTAAAGCAGAGCTATGTTGTGGTTAACTGTTTTTGTTCTACTTTTAGAGCACTATATTTTGCAACTTATTCCAAGTCCAAAGAAATTATGAATAACGTATTTGAGCCAGATTCTACTCAAGTACATATGACCTCAGCTGGAGTGGCAGGTAAGGATTTTTGAATTCTTACTTTAATCTATTTAAAAGCTACTAATGGAATGGCTGCAATAATAAATGAACCCTAAAGAAGTAATGGAAACAGAGAGTTTAGAATATAATGAAAATACAGTGACTAAAATACTGTATATGAAAGTCTACTGATTGTGTATGAATACCTGCTACAAGCATTAATAGAAGATTGAGTTAGAAGCATTTTATTTTCTTCATAACTCCAAGTTAGTGAATCGTGGACATAGTTTGTAGGACTACTCAGTGATTTGGAGTAAGGAAAAAGGTGATTTGTAGCATGCAGGAGCATTACATTTCCATTAACTCTTTAAAGAAGCTGTATTATTTCCTGGGATTACAAAACAGTAGCCGTATAATTACAGGGAAATATACATATGCTTTTAAGAGATGCCAGCAACTCTTACATGTGCTCACTTAAGTATGCTCCAGTGCACCATTTCCCTTTGAATCTTTGACATAGTTCTGTCAAGCTAAGCAAATTTTATAAAGGAGCCTCTCTTTTTTTCTCTTCATTGACAGATTTTCTATTGCAAACTTCTTCCTCTGATAAGTCACCTGCAATATCTTCTTTTTACACCAGCTTGTATCAGATAATTCCTCAAAGCTCATTGCATTCATAAGAAGGGAGCAAGAAAACAAGCATTTTTTTTCCTTTTGGCGGCGGGTGGGTGGGTGAGGGGTAGGATACAAGAATGAGTTTCTTAGGAAATGGAGGAGATAAAAAAATTGCATTCCAATATTATTTACATGTTTATTCAGAATTAATAATAGAATTCATGGAGTTGTAATTCTGTAACAGTTATCTGATGGTAAGCCCCATATGATCTCTGAGGCATGTGATGTTTTTGTAAGATTGTGCTATTTTAGAATAAATGTTTCAATTAATGGCTTGCACAATATGTTCTACATCAGAATCCTGGCATGTTTGGGAGACAAAAATGCCCATATAATTAATAACCATAGTCATGTCTTATTATTTTGGAGAATAGAAGTTTAAATTTTAAGTAGCTGTATCAGAAATCCATGGGAATGGGAGGGAATGGGCAACAGTGCAATTGAGGATTCATTTAAAATTGTACATTGATTTAGAGATTGTTACCTGTCTTCTTTTTTTCCCAGAAGTTAAAAAGAAATTAAATTTCTCTTGACAAAGAACAGAGCAGAAGATGAAAATGGATTAGTAATCTTTTTTTTAACAGAAAATGACCTGTGTATTACACATTAATAGTTGTTTGGAATTAGATTAAAGATTAATTACATGGTTGTAAATATGCATATTTGCCCAGAATATGTAGAAAATTGATTTGTTGGCAAATTTCATATCTACATGCAAATCCAGTTTGCCTATCCAGCAGTATTTTTGATATTATGATTTAAATTATTTACATGAAAATTCTATTTTAGATTTATTTCTTTAATTACTTAGTTTTTCATAGCTGTCACTTTAAGACAAATATGCTTTGTTCTACGTTTAATATAAAAAGCTACCTCTTTTGAATTTCTGTGATTCTGTTCTTATTACATGAAATTATCTTGTTCATGTGCTTACAAAAAATTGACTGGAAATAACATTCAGCTTTGCAGTTATATACCTAAACTACATGGTTGGTGAAAAAGAATGTCCTGTGCATATTGGCTTTGAAGGTAGCTACTTCAAACTAGCATAGTTTTAGAAATCCCATAGATGCATTTGAAAAATTTCTTAAATACATATAAAACTACTGACATATAATTTTGGCTGTATTGTCTCATAACTAATACAAACAGCATATGAGAAAAATGCTAACCTTGTCATTTTTGCTTTTTAAAATGCTTACTTATTGTATTAAGTTAAACGATTAACAATTCTGCCTGCAAGATACATTTTAGTTTATAGCTACTGGTACAATTAAGAATATGTGGAAATCTTAAGGAACAAATACAATATTAGACTTTCTGTATACAAATATATTTTAAAATTTTTCATAAAGTATGAATTCTTTCTTAACTTTCTCAATCATTACTTTTTTTGGTAATTTTCAATTGTTTTTTAAAACAAATATTTAATATATTAAATCATACAGGTAATATTTTTTTTACAAAAGTTAAATAAATTTATCAAAGCCTAAATATTACATGTTTAGTGACTAGTATGTCTTAATATTTTGTTATCCAGTAAAAAATATTTTGTTAGCCATTTTGTCATGGATATCAGTGCATTCTTGGTGAGCAAAAAAGACTAATATACATTGACTATTCAGGCAAGTGTTGTTAGAAATTCAGAAAAACCTTGTACATTTATTCTGATACCATTACAGAAACTAGATAAAGTACTATAATATTTCTAAATATTACTCTTGTTTCTTTTATGCTGTTCTATGTAATGAGTCCAACTATAACACTGGCAGATACAGATGTATGCTAAGTACAGATGACATTTTGCCACCCTAGTATAGCTGTATCCCATTTTCTGTGGATGAGTAACAGGAACAGCATTACCATTTGAATACCTATTCCACTAAAAGTTTTATATTCCTGATCAATACAAGGCCTTTGCTCATTTGTTGGATATGATATTACAGCTGTTGTGTGATACAGTTCTGTGAAAATTATTTTAAAAAATCACTGGCTTAGGTTTTTCCAGGTAGTATTGGCCATAAATACAAAATGTATACTTTAAAGCTTTTGTTTTCTGAGAAGTTATTCCTGTTACACCAATTCTAATATGAAACAGAAAAATATTATATCATGGAGAACTGTCTAGTTTTGTAATTCATTGGCTTTTCCCACTAATCATCTTCTTCATGTATTTTATATAGCAGTAGCAAAATTTACCGTTTTCAATTTTAAATTTTTTTTCACAATCTCTGATATAAACATCTGTTTAAACATTTGTTTTGAAAAGAGGAGATAAATAACTGGACTATGATTTTGCTCATTTCCCTCTCCCCTTTGTTAATGCTTTTAATAAAGCTCAAAACTAGCTTGATCTGTAATAGCAAAGTTCAGGGATAACTTCATATTCAAAGTGACATTTATTTCAGCATTATATTATTTCTGATGACAAGGTTAGCATTTTAAATTATTTTTAAAACAAAGCCAAAGCAATATTTTGGGTTTCTTTAAAGTTCATAGGTAAGTATTTTATGATATAAAATGGTTAAATTGCTGCAGATGGCAAAAATTTCAGTACTCAGTGCATTTTACAAAATCCTTTTTTAAATATTTGTGGCCTGTATTCTTTTTTATTTTTTACTGTTCTAAACTTTTAAAAATTAGATCTCACCTTTTATTAAGTCACAAACCCTTCCAATGGGATTCAGTTTTGTCACATGTATCTGATGAGGTCACTGCTTGTTGTTATGATACAGAAAAGCCTGTGTCTATTTTAGGCATTTACTGTACATTTCTCCCGTGAAAGAGTGAGATCGTGTCATCTCATGTTCCCCATCCGCAGGTCACTTCCTGCAGAAATATGGACTAACTTAAACCTCGTGAGTACTGAACTGAGCATCTCTTGCAGCCTGTAGCGTAAGAACCAGAGTTTGGGTTTGTAACCACTCTTAAAGAAACAGCCTAAGGGGAATCTTTCTTTCTGAATTCCAGTTGCATATATTGTTCACTCAGCTGTTTCTTTCATTCAGTTTGGGGAGAGGTGGAAAACCTTTTAATTAACTGCTATAAAATTAACCTAATTTGTTTAGTAAACTCTCTTTTTAATAATATTCAGAATTTACACAGAAATTTCTCTGTAAATTTCAAAGTAGTTATTCACAATTGCACCTAATAACATTGCAGTTAATTGAATTCATTGATCAGAGCCTTTTTTTCCCTCTTTAAAAACAGTTTAGCATTACTTGTGTTCATATTGATTTATCAATTCAGTTTGTCTCACAAAGTCGGCACAAATTATTTCTGGGATTTTGAGATGTTTTAATTGAAACAAGGTATTTTTCCTCTAAAAATCTTCTGTTTACTTGCTGTTCGCCGTAGTCAGAGTTTTCAGCCAATAGGTTTCAGAATTAAATAAGTTTACAGTACAGTCCTATGCATATCTGCTCAGAAGTAAGTTTTATCTGGGAGCCTTTTTCCTAGGATTTATAGAATTTTAGTCTCAAACCATAAATAAAAATTGTGATTCTACATATGTTTTATTTTTATATGATTTAAAATCACTTTCTGCCCACAATGAAAGGATTTTGTTTGGAGTACAAATAGCCTATGTAAAAAAGCCATTTTTAAAATATTGAAACCCAACCATTTCCCCCAGTGAAAAAAAGAGTGCATCTTATATGTCAATATTAAAGATATACAAGTAGAGAGCATAGCTTCAGATAATATCTTTTTATTGTGAAATAAAGTTTAAGCTTAAAGTATATTATACTGTTTTATGTTGTATTTCCCAAGGTAGCAATGATTATTGTAAAATTAGAATCTAATGTTTAAACAAAATAGCAAGAAAATAATTTTGTTTGTTGTGTAGAAACATCCAAGTCAATTTAGAGCTCAAATGGGTAAAAAGTGCAGTGGAACTTCAAACTGTTTAAAGGAAAGACTCATGAAAGAGGTGAAATAATAAGCTTTTAGAAATTATAATGTTGGGAGAATGAGAATGTTACTGATTTATTTGAAGCATTCTAAGATAACTTTATAAATATGAACATAATTAAAATGTTTGCACTCAAAACAATCATTGAAATTTTAAAAATTGGATGGTTTCTTTTAAAGTAGATCAATTTCAAAACTAATAAAATTAAATTTTATTTATACTTTTTAAGGCTGTAATTTTATAAATAATACTAACACCATTGAATGGGACTTCCATCTGAATAGACATATATAGGATTGTGCTGTTTTAAGTATAGTTTTTTGCTGTGAGCAACTGTAGAAATTATCTAGAAGCTCTACATATGACATTAGCAAATCAAGTTTCTACATTCTCTGACTTGGAATGTGACAAAATCTTAAAGATAATCCGAATACTGACTCTTAAGATCCTTATATCCATTTTCTTTAGGAAGAAAGTAGGATTTGTGATAGCAAGAGTAGTGCATTTCTTTCCAATAGAATAATAATAAGTGGGTGGTCAGAATCTAGTAAAATTTATTCTCCCTTCTGTGTCACCTTATAAATGTTGCATTTTATATTAATCTTATAACTGAACAGCTATTAAAAACTACCCTTTCAGCCTTCTGCTTTCCGTATTTTATGATTCTGCAGTGGGTGAGATAAACTTTTATCTAGTAGTCTCAGCAATATCATCTTACTGGAACTTTGAATAGTCATTATCTTGCCTGCTTATTAATAGGTCACAGTATATAAATATTCACATTCCTTTAACTAATAATTTGTTTTTCTGTGTATGAGAATTTCTGTGGCCCACTTTGATTGTTAAGTAGTAGTTGCTGGCATAAATTGTATGATATCCAACTTCTATTTTATCAAATATTTGAAGTATTTATATAAAGCTGTCTGACTGTTGTTTAGTTAGCATATTTTTATTATCTGTTCTGAATTTTTAATGTGTAAAGTAAATTCACAGAGAATAATTTATTGATGTGGTTTAATGTTATTTGCAATTTACTTTTATGGATTATATTTAGATTTAGCTGGCCTTGTTTCAAACTGAAGAACAGGTGCCAAATGAAATTTATATTAATAAAATGGTACAAGCCTATGGTTAATAATTTTTGAATAACAAATGTATTTTTGAAATCATGCAGAGTATTATTGGCCTTGTGGACTTTTAGTAATAAAATGTTGGTAGATAATTATTTCTGAATTTTTACAATAAACATAGTACAAGTCAGTTTATATCTTCTTGCTGTATATGTTGTAGTTTAGCAAATTGTTGCCATGATGTTAGAAAAAATAATTTATTTTTTTAACTGTTTGTTTAGGTTTTACTGCAATCACAGTAACTAATCCAATTTGGTTAGTAAAGACACGATTACAACTTGATGCAAGGTAAAATCTCCAATAATCTCTTGAAAATATAAGTAGATTGGTATGTATAAAATTAGTTAAAATAGAATAGAATTCTTTATTGGCCAAGTGTGATTGGACACACAAGGAATTTGTCTTGTTGCATATGCTCTCAGTGTACATAAACGAAAAGATACATTCGTCAAGAATCATAAGGTACAATACAAGTTACATTGTAAAAAGTTAATGAAAGGACCCAATAAAGTTCCATTATTAACTACTGTCTTACATCTGTTTTAAAATGAACCTGTTGACTTGCTGGAAATTGATACATCTATCTTTTTTTTACTTCAGTGTCTCAAAACACACACACACACACACACATACTTTTGCATATGCCTGAAAACATTTGTTTTCAATATCTACTTTAGATTTCAGAGATATTATAGCATGTACTCTGTAGAATATTTATACCTGAAGCTGTAAAATGTAACTGGGTATCATCATGCCTTTATTACATGGACTAGAAATATCATATCTATCAGTGATGTGTTTCAAAAATTTTTACTACCAGTTCTGTGGGCGTGGCATGGCATGGCTTGGTGGGCGTGGCAGGGGAAGGATACTGTAAAATATCCATTCCCACCCCACTCCAGGGGAAGGTTATTGCAAAATCCCCATTTCCTCCTGATCAGCTGGGACTTGGGAGGCAGAGAATAGATGGGGGCGGGGCCAGTCAGAATTTTTACTACCATTTCTCCGAACTACTCAAAATTTCCCCTACCGGTTCTCCAGAATTGGTCAGAACCTGCTGAAACCCATCTCTGATCTGTATGAATTAAGATATATTTTAATCCTTTTAATGAGAAACATAATTTTCAGTTCTTAATTTTTTATTTTGTGCTTCTATGGAACATGAATTTACAAGAAATCTGAAGCAAATTGTTGATTGGCAATGACTTGGAGCATAGAACCTATCAATAATACAGGTTATGGTGGCTTCTTTACAGTCTAAATGGCATAGAAAAAAACATTGAAAGAAGTAATCTTAAGTCTGCAATTCAAAGAAAGTTCAGAAATAAGAACTTTTCTGCTTATGTCTTCCTGCTTAGACGTAAAGCAGCTAAGTGACTTTAGGTCAGCCCATTTATTTATTTATTTATTTATTTATTTATTTATTTATTTATTTATTTATTTATTTATTTATTTATTTATTTATTTATTTATTTGTTCAACTTGTATGCCTCCTTTCTCCGAAGACTCAAGGTCCTAGTCTTATGTCCAAAAATCTTGCTACAAAATCTTCAAGGACTACTCCAGGCAACCACTAGAAACCAAGACTGACTTGAAGACACACAAATAAAAAATTGACTTTAAAGAAGGGCTTTTAAATGAAAGAATATTGATCCAAAATGCATCAGTCATAAGGCTTTAGCTTGTGACACTGGCAATTTGATGAATAAAGAACATATTTAAAGAAGCCTTTCTTACATATTCATCTGAACATCCAGACATATTGAACTAAGATTGAAATGATAGTCTTGATTGATATCATATGTGTCTCTATTAGAGAATATAAAAAACTATGCAAGCATGACCAAGCTTTGGGCACTCGACAACATAGCTGCATTTACAACTGTTTGCAGTGCCAGTGGTCACAAGATGGAGTTTTACAAAAGTTTTGCCAACAATTGGCACTTAGTTTTTTGCAAAATCATACCCATAGCAGAACCTTTTATTTGAAATAGTTTGACCACAGTATTCACTTAACAACTGTTGCAGAAAAGTCATAAAATCAGATTAGTCACATGACCAGCCCATTTTACAACATTCTGTGCCTTGAGAGACATTGAGGCATATAGTTCTAGTTGAAATTTAATCAGGGTTAATACAGTCAGGCAATTTGTATATAGGTGAAAGGCTGTATCTTTTCTTTGATCATTGATTATATATAAATGATTGCATGAAACAATATGCAAATGTGAGAACTTTGCAAGCTTTGGGCCACTTTGCTGAATTGAGTATGTCATACTGATTCTATGTAGAATATTATAAACTATTCAGATTCCAAAGTAATTTTTATTTTTGTTTTGTTTTCCATTTTAGGAATCGTGGAGAAAGACGGATGAATGCTTTTGAATGTGTACGCAAAGTTTATCGGTCAGATGGAATTAAAGGTTTTTACCGAGGGATGTCTGCCTCTTACGCAGGCATATCAGAGACTGTTATTCATTTTGTTATTTATGAGAATATTAAACAAAAAATCTTGGAATGTAATTCTGCTTCTGGAATGAGTAAGGAGGATGAGCCTGTCAAAAAAGCATCTGATTTTGTTAGTATGATGGCAGCTGCAGCCACTTCGAAAACCTGCGCTACATCTATTGCCTATCCACACGGTAAGGATCTTTTGCTTAGAAAAATGGTGAACAAAATAAGATAATCCGTATATTGCAACAAATCATAGACTGTTAAAATTATTTGAGTTAAATGATGACCATATTTGTTTTCTTTAAGAACATGCAGTTTTCAGAAAACTGATGAAAATGCTAGCCAAACGTAATTACTAAAAATATCCACTGCTGACATTTCTAGAACATTATAAACCAAAAATAATAAAATACAATTAATAAATCATACAAGATAGATTTTAACATAGTTTAAAGTCATTATTCTAGTGTAGTGCAGACATATACATAGCCAGGACAAGAATACCTGGTTCTGAAAAAAACAGTGCAAGTAACAGGTTTTATTTCTTCGGAAGACCATTTCAAAGAGAGGTAGCTGGAATGAGAATGATCTCTGTCTTGTAGTCATCCATCAAAGTTTAAGAAGACATTTGAAGGAGGACCTCAAGGTGATGATCAGGTAGCCTGGGCAGAATAGTTAAAGCTATTACTTGACATACTCTTGATTTAGTTTAACTGCAAGTCATTCAAGGTTTTTAACATCACTACTAGAATATGGACTTGGCTTTAAATTTACAGTCTGTCGGCCATTTTTTTATATGCTTTGCTCTTTGAGAGATAGCAATATGGACTAATTTAAAGCATACTCATGTCCATGAAGCTAAAGGTGGAATGTGGATTGAATCAACAGTTGAAATTAGTCTTTGTAGAGTGATTGCTTATGAATATTGCTTAGAAATGGAGATTTTATATATAATACAGTATCAAATATGAGACTTTCTCCTTTTTCTTTAATGCAGAGGTTGTACGAACAAGACTACGAGAAGAAGGAACAAAGTACCGATCCTTTTTCCAGACGTTGTCATTGCTTATGCAAGAAGAAGGCTATAGTTCTTTCTATCGTGGCCTAGCCACACATTTGATAAGACAAATACCAAACACGGCTATAATGATGACTACCTATGAAGTGGTAGTCTACTTGCTCAATAGACAGCAGCACTACTATCTGACTATTGGGAAGTGAAAGACCAAAAGTTTGGACCATAAACATTCTGAATGATAGCAGCTATACATATATATATCATCCAGGTATATCACCCGTATATCAACTATATGCAGATATGGACAAAGTGGAAGAATATCGATAGGCAATCATTCACACTTCTGCTGGCTTGTCATATGGTATCTCTTGCAAGTTTTTCTTAAGGACTACATTTAACATGTCATACTTCAATTGCAATTTCCTCTTACCATGTTAACTTTTTTACTTCTATGCAGTGAGCAGCGAGGGCTTGGTGTGAGCAAGGAGGTTGTAATGTGTTTTAGTGCAAGGTGTAAATCCATTACTGGTTGTAGAGTTATGTTCTACAGCAGTTTGAAGGCTATGTCAGCGTAAAGCATATTCATGCTCGTATCTGAAAGTCCATTTTGCAATTGAAATAAAATGATAGGTGAAGATTTACATTAAGCTTCCCATTTTACTACCTCAATGGGTCTCAGAAGGAAATGTAAATTCCTACATTCCTCTAAAAACATATTGATCTTCATTTGTTTATACATGGGGGCAGGGCAGGAAGAACAAAATTCTAATAATTTTAACATCTAACCCTGGGTTGAGTGTGCCATAGGTGCATATTTTAATAACCCACTTAATTTTAAGTTTTTGCTGTACAAATAGAAGAATGTTAAGATCTGTGTAAGATTTTCTTCTGTTCTCCTGTATGCATCATCTGATGGATCCTAGTAGGACTTAAAAGTATTTCTAGATTGTGTTATTTTGAACCAAGAATCAACCAATTCTTGAAGAGTGGCAAATAACTTAGTAATTCAGCATTATGTCAGACTTCAGCAAACTTAATTCTTGTAAGAGTTACGTCACCTGAGCTGAAATCTGCATCAATTAAATGCCAAACTTCACTATACTTCAAGAACATATAAAAATCAAATGCTAATATTATTATTAAGAAATAATAATACTCTGCATTCAAGCATTCCCTTGTATTTTATTATTTGCTTAATTTCTGGTGCATTGTGCAGAAATTGAAAAATGAATTTTTTTCCCCTTAGAAAGTATAGTCCTTAAAATTTATTTCAACATTTACACAATATAATTTGCTATCATTTAAGAGTTGATTTTCACTAACACATAGTAACTATGTTGTCTTTAACAAACACTATTCACAGTATTACAAGTAACATATTTTAGTGTTATATAATTAATACAAAAATCCTACATTCATTTTTTAAACTACAGTCCTCCTGTTCCAAGCAAATTTTCTGCCTATGAATTACTGTTTTCTAATTGAATATTTTTTTATTTGCAAATTTAGCTAGTGATACCATGAAACAAGCTTGTGAATTCATTTGCGGGTATTTAATTCAAAGACAATATTCTAAAAATGTGTATCGTTAGTGTATTTGATTTTTTTATTAAAGAAAATTAAATAATTGTAATGGTGCAATCCTACTCTTGCCTATTCAGAAGTTACAAAGAATGTAGAAAGATTTATTTCTAAATCAGTTGTTTCTAAATAGAATTATAGCTTAAAGTTTATTTATGGCAACTGGATTATACATGGTTAGTTCCCTTTATTATTGTATATATTTTGTTACTGTATAATACAGACAAGTGAAACATGAGGGCATGAGGAAAGCTTAAAATTTATTTCTATAAACTGTTAAAAAATAATTTCATTGCAGGCTACTTTAAAATAATGCAGGGATTCTGAGAATAGAGCCAACTGTCGAAATAGTTTCTCCCTGGCTATTCTGTAGCAGATACATTTCCTATAGACTTGCAATATTTAGTTTGATGGTTGTATTAAAATGTACCTCTTGTTACAAATCATTCTGCTGGATCTTTTTAGCAGGAAATAATTTTCTTCAATGAGACTGATCTTGTTATACATGTAGTTCTTGACTTACGACCACATTTGGGGCTGATTGCTAACCAATGTAGTTATTAAGCAAATCTGGCTTTTCCCATTGACTTACTTGTTGGAAGCTTGCTAGAGGGTTGCAAATCATGATCACATGACTGTAGGATGTTGCCTCTGTTGTAAATGCGAGCCTGTTACCAAGTGCTCAAATTGTGATCAGGTGACTTGCAGGGGTGATGTGATGTAATTTCAAGGACATACTATAAGTCATTTTTTTCAGCACCATTGTAACTTCAAACTATCATTAAATGAATGGTCATAAGTTGAGGACTATCTGTATTTTAATAAACATGACAGATACAATCAATAGTTGAAGATGAATTAAGAAAATTCGTTAAAGGAACAGATTCCCCAACAAATCTTCATCTGAACAAATTTCTTGCTTGTAAATATTACTGACAAAGATGTTATTGGTTGTAAACAATACGCTACAAATGCTTGCTGTTTTAAATGATAAAATTGAGTAATATTACTTTGTTATGAAGAAATTTCTAGAAAAACTAACTTAATATATTTCTATTTCTACACTCAGGTAGATTCAGATAACCAAGCCTCCCCCCCCCCCTCGGTGCAATCACCATTAACACCATATGATAGCATTCCAACAACAATCATCCAAAGATAATGAATCATAGAACTTTGGGGCAAGTTTAAAATGTAGGTAAAATCATGATTACTTATTTATTCTAATCTGACAAAGTCTTTAAAAATAAATATTTCAAAATCATAAGCTGTTCTAGTACGTCAGCTTTATGAATCCACATTTCTATTGTTCATTATAAAGTGGATCCCACTCATTACATGATCATGCAGCATTCTGATCATATAGTTGCTTAAGGCACATATGACTTTGCTTGATGAATAAAGCCTCTTTTAGCTAACATATCTATTTGAGCATTATTTGAAACATTGTTATATAAACTTTTGGTAAAATTTTTATGATCTGCCTTTAAAAAATGCATTTGATTATGATAGATATATTAAGAATTAGGGATGTGATGAACTGAACAAATTAATCCTAAGCATTTTTAGTGTCACTGCCATTTCATATATGCTATGACATAAGTGGTGGAATATCTAGGTTCAAAGGAGAAATAGTTATATCTCTGTGTGTGCGTGTTGGCCTGCATGTTGTGCTTGTCAGCAATTCTTTAAACAACTTCATTGTTTCCTTAAGGCAGTGACTACAGAATCCCAGAAAAAAAATATATACATTTAATTTAAAAAGATAATGATAGTTGTACATCCCTATTCCTAGTAGTCTTTTTTATTAGCACATTACTTGCTAAACATGAATCTATAGGATACTTGTTTACTTTAGTCCAGCGTTTCTCAACTTCCACAGTTTTAAGGTGTGTGGACTTCAACTCCCAGAATTCCCAAGCCAACATACTGGTTGGAGAACTTGAGCAGTGAAGTCCTTGCATCTTAAAAGTTGCTGAGATTGAGAAGCACTCCCTTAATCCAAATTTAATATTGATGCCTTTAACAAAGTTGCCTTAATGAGCTATCCTAACTTCAACCTGAATTCAGATTAGGGACCTCAGGCGAGATTAAAAGAAGAAGCAGAAGTCTCATGGAATACTTGCAGAAAGCTCCCTAGGTATCATGTTCCCACCAAAGGAATGTTGATACCCAGTGCCCACTCTTGGGTTGAAATAAAAAAACAAAATTTAAAAAAAAATAGTGGATTAAGGATAAGGATAATTTTATTTCTATACCGCCTCTCTCCCGAAGGACTCGGGGTGGTGTACAGCCAGGTAAAAACACAATACAAATATCACAATTTAAATTTAAAAAATTATTACAAGTATTACATTTAAGGCCAAAATTTAATAAAAACCCCCAAAATTTAAGAACTCCGAATTTAAAACTCAGTTATGAAGCTAGCCCTGCCAGTCGGAAGAGCAGGGTCTTAAGAGCACAGCGGAAAACTCGGAGGTCAGAGATCTTGCATATGTCCAGGGGCAGTTCATTCCAAAGGGCAGGGGCTCCCACAGAGAAGGCTCTCCCTCTGGGTGTCGCCAGCCGAGATAATTTGGCCGACGGCACCCTGAGGAGTCCCTCTCTGTGGGAGCGGACTGGTCGGTGGGAAGCTATCGGTGGCAGAAGGCTGTCTCGTAGGTACCCAGGTCCTGAGTTATGGAGCGCTTTAAAGGTGGTAACCAACACCTTGAATCGCACCCGGAAGACCACTGGGAGCCAGTGCAGCTCGCGCAGGAGAGGTGTTATATGAGCGCAACGAGTTGCATCCATAATTACCCGCGTGGCCACATTCTGGACCAGTTGGAGCTTCCCAGTGCTCTTCAAGGGGAGCCCCATATAGAGAGCATTACAGTAGTCCAGCCGGGAGGTAACAAGGGCGTTAGTGACTGTGCGCAAGGCGTCCCGGTTCAGAAAGAGATGCAACTGGCGAATCAGGCGAACCTGATAGAAAGCTTCCCTGGCCAGGGCTGTCATATGCTCTTCTAAAGACAGCCGTGCATTCAGGAGGACGCCCAGATTGCGAGCCCTCTCGGGGGGGGGGGTAGAGATTCACCCCCTATAGAAAGCGATGGCGTCAGCTGACTATAACAGGACGTGGGTAGCCACAGCCACTCGGTCTTGGAAGGGTTGAGTACCCCACAACTTTTTGATAATTTGAAGAAAAGACTATACATTTTCCATGTACTAGTCTTTTATCTTTGCATCCAGCTTTGAATGTATAAGATGGAACTAATAGAATTACCCATTTTGTTCTAGGCATATAAAATTTGGTTAAATAATTACATAATATGAAGATGATTTAATCCTAAATTGTGTGATTATATTCCTATATATCTTTTTGAATGAAATAATGGATTTAAATCTTTTCAAAAAATGAGGATTTTTCCATGTGCACAATATACTTTGGAACTTGGTTGATTTTTTCTGAAGAATGACAAGACAGACCCAAGCAGTAAAATAAAAAAATCAGAAGGTGTCTGGTAGAACCTTTAGCTGACAAAGTGTATTAAAAAGCATACATTTTTGTGAGCTATAAATGAGCTAGTTTTACTAGACGTCTGATTTTTGGCTGCGGTAGATACCGTAAATACAACACTTAATAAAATGTAACCAGTAGGTGGCGCTACAGTAATGCCAGTGCCAGAAGTGTATCTATGGATGTGTATACTCCTATCTATTACTAGCACAGAAACAAGCCATAATAGATTCTGTCATAAAACTTGCACTTGCCAGATTTTTATTGCTCTGTGTAAAATGCCATTAAATCAAGGAATAACTTGTAGGTTTCTTATATAACGTTATTTTCTAATTGTAAGCAATGTTTTCTTAAGCATACATAAATCTTTGACTCAAATTTCACACCTTAAATGATAAGTGTGACATTTTCAGTAGGATGGTTATCAATCTAAAATTTTATGTGAAACGGTTATTATTCCCCCATACAAAAAAAAGTTTGAGATTGCATGTGAGGTACTTAGCGATCTGCTTTACTCATACCTAGTAGGTTTCCAGTGCTTTCCTTTCATCTCAGAAAGCATACAATGCACTATTAAAACTTAATTTATCATTGAAATGTAGTTTTATGCCTATCTAACACTATAATTTTAAAACTGATGGAAGATATTGTGACCTCTCATTTTTAACTCTTTCAAGTCTGTATGATATAACTGCAGCCTGTAATCTGGAGATTATTTTGTTTTCATCAGGTTTTATAAATTCTACAATCTAGCAGAATACTGATGATGTGTGCCTATATATGTTTGCTACTTTCAAATTCAAATATTTATCTTTTGATAAATACCTGAAGTCCAATTTCAGGTTTGTTTTTATTTTATGTACAGAAAGCTTGCATACCCTCTATATGTGAAAGTGGTTTCTCTAGAGCTCTTGTTGTTTACAAAGTCAGACATTCTACCACTCCTATAAACTTTTGTTTTAATTCTTTCATACCATATTTTTGGCTATCAAATATGTGCTTTAAATACTTTTTGTATTTATGCCGCAATGGCAACATTTTGTTTGGACTGCTCAAAACTTCAAAATAAAATAGAGTTTATTCAAACCAATTAGACTTCATTAACTTTTTTAAAACACGAAGAAAAGGGTGTTTCAAGTGGGAAAAAAATCTGATTGTTTAAATTATCAGAGTGGGAGAAAAAACATTGGCTTTGGAATAAAGTTCATAACATACAAGAGAAGATTTTATAAAAAATAATACGCTTTTAAGGTAGTATATTTTACCATAATATTTTTTCTTCAGGTCTTGTTTCTATGAATAAATGTCTCCTTTTCTTCTAAGCCAGTATTTCTCCATCTTAGCCATGTTAAGATATGTGGACATCAATCCCCAAAATTCCTCAGTCAGTTTGTTAAAGCCCCCACATATTAAAGGTGCTACAGTTGAGGTACACCATGATTGATAACAAACAATATTTTAGGATTTCAAGATTTTAGCTATAGTTGGAAGGATAACACTTGGATTCCAGATTTAGCCATTATAAAAAGGATGGGCGACCATAACATATGAATCTGAGCATCATAGGTAACAAGCACCAGAATTACAGTACCAGAAAAGACCCTGTGGGACTATCATCTATAACAGATATATGGCAATCACTAATATTCTGTATAGAATGTATGACAGCTTTTCCAAGATCAAGGCAAGATCTGAAGTTCAGTGGTAGTTCTTATCCTTTGTGCACAGAAGATGCCAGGATTAATTCATTCCACAAAGAAAACTGGGAAATATTCTAGTCTGAAATTGCAGAGAACGCTGCCAGCCAGTGTAAACAATATTGAGCTACAAAGGCCAATGTCTGACTCAGCATAAGACAGGCTCCCATGTTCCACATTAGAACAACGTATCCTTTTCCTGACAAGTGAGATGAAAAATTGCTGAAAATCAGTGTTGCAAGAGTACAGTACTAAAACTGTTTCTGTCGTAGCATATAATAACATGTAAAAAAACCGAACAAGGTTATTAACAGTGATGCTTGTTAGGTGTGAAAATCATAGCCTATATTATGGTTTTGCATTTCCTTCTCCTTTAAAATTGCTGCAAATATCCAACTAAATCAAAAATTATACGAATAATTTTCTAATTGTGATGGTATGATACCACGTACTACATGTAGAGTACTTAATGTACCATTCTAGGTAGCAGTTAGAGGGACGCGGTGGCTCAGTGGCTAAGACGCTGAGCTTGTCAGTCGAAAGGTCGGCAGTTCAGCGGTTCGAATCCCTAGTGCCGCATAACAGGGTGAGCTCCTGTTACATGTCCCAGCTTCTGCCAACCTAGCAGTTCGAAAGCATGTAAAAAATGCAAGTAGAAAAATAAGAATCACCTTTGGTAAGAAGGTAACAGCGTTCCATGCACCTTTGGCGTTTAGTCATGCTGGCCACATGACCATGGAATTGTCATCAGACAGCACTGGCTCTTCGGTTTAGAAACGGAGAAGAGCACCGCCCCCTAGAGTCAGGAACGACTAGCACATATGTGTGAGGGGAACCTTTACCTTTACCTAGGTAGCAGCATGCTTCAATTTGTAAGTTTAGCTGATATCCTATAAATTTGGTAGTTTGGGGAGCATTTCACTTCCTGCTGTCTGATATTCTACATGATAATCTGGAGTGTTCTAGAAATAGAATAGAATTTGATAATTATTTTCCATTATTTTCCTATAGCACCTTACATAATCAAAGGGGACAACTGTATTCTGTTTCCATAGAATATAGGAATTTAATCACTGGATCATTATTTTCCGTTCCCATGTTAAAATTAAATATTTTTACAAATGTCTAATATTTTATTGCTGCCAAAAATGGCAACTAAGTTTGAATTCATTCCATGGAAAAAATCATGATTTTAGACCACCTATAGTATAACTAGATGGCTGTCATTTTTGGCCCGCTTGGTTATCATAATAGATCATTTATGTTGGGAATAATTTAAACCATATTCTCCAATCTTGAAGCATATCTAGTGTCTGCCTTACTAGAAATCCCTTAAGCAACTTGGGAGTAATTCAATCCCTGAAAAGGCTTGGAAGTATTTCTACTAGGAAATAAATCCCTTACAATATTTTATTATACATATTTTATAGGCCTGGAAAAGAGAGACACGGAGGAATGATGAATTTGTGGTTTAAGCCAATACCTGTGGAAACAGCTGCATAAAATTGTCATGGAAATTTACTTCCCTGGGAAAAAAGCCTACACAACTGCCTATCCAGATAGTGAAAGTTAAAAATAGGAATTATTATATTGTACTTGACTATCTATCAATGTAATTCCTTTCAAAAAGCTATGGAAATGCAAGCAGTGTTTAGTTAAAAATCGTATTACAAACAGAACAAGGAAAAATCAGCCACGTTCAAAAAATGGAGAAAGAGAGAAAGAGAGAGAGATGATGGATTGTAGAAAATGGGAATGTGTCAAATAGTAACATTGCAATATATACTGAAGTTATAAATATGAAATTTATAAAAATTTCTATTTCATATTGCTATTCTACAATTCTCACTAAAATGCAAACAGGTTATGGGAAGGCTGAATGTAGGAAAGTACTTGTCACCTAAAGTAGAGATGCATAAAATAGTGACTTCTAAGCTTTCAAAGCATACTTACTACAGCTACAGCTTTGTACCACCTTCATCTTGCTAAACTAGCTTTTCCTGATAATTTTCCCTCCCTAATTTTGGTTCATTACCTTTTTAAAGTTCAAATAGTTCCTCTTATTTTCTGCTCTCAAAAGCTTTATTCTACTAATTCAAGGGTGAGAAGCTTCCAGGAATTCCTTCCTTCCTTCCTTCCTTCCTTCCTTCCTTCCTTCCTTCCTTCCTTCCTTCCTGGTGAGATTGTGGGTATCATCTTGTTATGGTCAGGCACAAGAATGAAGTGCACTGTGTAACATCTAGAACCTTCATTATGAAGTTACAGGGATAATAGTCAACTGTATATAATTTGCTTGTATAAATTTTGCTGAATTTCAGTGAAAATATCAGTCTTTGGCATATTGGTTGAAACTCTTATTGCAAGAGACTGTAGGATCATAAATATTTTTTCAGAAAGGAAAAATATTTTTCTGAATTTTTTTCAGAAAAATTGTGTCTTTAGAAAAAGGTCACTATTAACTCTGTTAAAAACTATCCTATGTCCTATTATAGTCCTGTTTACTTTCCAAATAAAACTAACTGTGTCAAGGATATGATTTCTATGGTCCTTTTCTTGCATACATGGATTCAACAGGTTTGGCATCACCTAGTTTGGCATTCATAGTGAATACTTTACTGATACTACTATAATTTATTTTGGCTGATTTTATGTATTGTTTACTAATGTTAGTGTATAGCAGTTGAATTGTTACTTTAATTAAACTGTTGATATATTTTGTTTAAGAATTATTTAACTGGTTTATCTGACATGATTGCTTTGACTGCCAATTAAATTGTCTTAGAATTTTGCAAATATGCTACATGGCCTGAAATCAATATATGTCTCAAGGGCAGTGTATCAAATTCTATATTGACAAATGTTGCTGTTTTATGTCGGTTAAACAGAACCACCCAGTTATTAACCTAATTTATTTACACAGTTTATAAAATAAGTGCACCAATATATGTTTTAATTTTAAATCCTCATTAACAGTTGCATAGAAGTTCAAGTACAGCAAATCAAAACAGTAACTGGGTACTGTCCCAAGTTACTAACCCAAGGGTACTTATTCAAGAGGCAACTTTCTGGTTCAGAAAGTCTAGTTGCCTCTTGAAAAAGCACCTTTGGGATAACCATAACCTGGATGACCGAGAATCTCCATAGATAACACAGTAATTGGTGATCTAAGTAATAATACTGGCCTTCTTGTCTTTTCATTTAGAACAGGGCTGTCAAACTCCCGGCCCGTGGGCCGGATGCATCACAGGCTGGCCACACCCATGCCCAGTTTAGCGAAGGGGCAAAAAATCCTGATACATCATGTGACGCTGCCGTAACGACATGAGCTTGACACCCCTGATTTAGAAGATATACATCCAGTTTCCCAAATGTTATGAGAAGGTCAAAATTGTGAGGACAATAGTTTTCTCTATGCAGACATATATTCATTTAGCAACTGAGGTTACAATGGCAATGAAAAATTGACTTACAACTGGTCATTGCACTTACAACTGTTGCAGCATCCCCATGGTCACATGATCAAAAATCAAGTGCTTGGCAAACAGCATGTATTTAAAAAGGGTTACAATGCCAAGCTGTCTCAGGAATTCTGGGAGTTGAAGTCCACAGATTGTAAAAGAGCCACATTTGCCCACCCCTGCCCTAGGGTCATATGATCATCATTTGCAACTTTCCCAGCTGGCCTCCAATAAGCAAAATCAATGGGACAAGCTGGAGTCGCTTCATGACCATATGACCAGATGCTAAATAATAAATTAACAACAGCAGTGATTCACTGACCAACCATGAAAAAAAGGTCACAAAATCTGATGTGACTCAATTAACAAGTACTTTGCATAGCAATAGAAATTCTGGTTCCAATTGTGGTTGTAAGTTGGGAACTACCTGTAGTTGCTCTTCAGGTTTCTACATAAGTTACACTTCCAATATTTGAAGATAGCTCTTGTAAATAAAATATATATATATATACAACTTTTGGACTGCAAAAAGTGTTTTCTGAAATCTTAGAAAGCGCTACCAGTACTGGATTATATTGAACAATGGTTTGAACAACCCTCATCGGAAGCTTTCTACATCTTCTAGGCTGTGCTTAGATAATTTATGTTGCATTTTGCATACTTCTCACAATGTATGTAATAACAATTACTGTAAGTAATTACTACTAATGTAATTTGTAATAATCAAAAGAATTTTTTTTACTGAATCAAGTGTGTGCGTGCCTGCATGCATGTGTGTGTTGTAATTTGGTATGAAATGTGATAAAGTCTTTGTGATTAATATTCATATTATGCTTACATTTTATATTTTTAGATTTGACTTTATAAATTACATATAGCTGGTTTGTCATATGGCAAAAATATGAATGAGAGGCCCTTTTGCTCAGCCTAGGACA